GGGCGCCCGGGGCGCGCCAGGCTCCCGGTTGGGGACGGCGCCAAGGTGCGCAGGGCCCGGGGTGGGGGCGGGGGCTCAGGGTAGTGGGTGCCTGCGCTCAGGCCTGGGAGGCTCTCGGGCGTGGCAGGCCCAGCGGTGTGCAAGGTCAGGGCCTGGACGGTGTCTTGCGGGGCCTGGGAACCACCTGCCCTGGTGGTTCCGTTCCACCCACCTAGCCCTTACCATGTTTAGTTCCGTGGGCAGAGCCCAGGCCCCTTTCCTGTGTGCAGACTGCACTTCTAGGAGGTGAAGGAAAATTAGGGCAGCCTGCCAACCCTCTTCAGGGGGCCAGGGAAAGAAGCAAGTGACCTGTCCTGGCTTTCGGAATAGGCTCTACGCCCTTCACTGACTTGAGGTGAAGGTCCAGTTGCAGGCCCGGAGTGTTCCAGGCCTGCAAGCCTCATCCATTGAAGATAACCCACATTTTGTTGGTTGAGTGAGCCTGCACAGATTCCTGGATCCTGAAGTTCTAGGTGGGGTGGCCAACCATCCACAAAGTCCCCTAGACAGGGGAGAGCTGCCAAGTTCTGCTCGCTGCACCTCCCACTCAGCACTTACCCAGACTGCATTCTCCATTCTCCTTAGAAAAGCACCTGGGAGAAGAGAGGGGCAGGAGACACAGGAGGACACCCTTGTGACTCAGGGTTCTGCCGTTTCTAGAATGCTGTCCTAAGTCACCCACACCCAATCCTCCCAACTCATTTTACATAGGAGGAAACAGTCTGTTGGAGGTGAGTGACACACCCAAGGTCACACTCTAAGAAACACTACTGGAGTCTTGAGTTAAGGCAGCAGTCTTGACCTGTGTCCAGTGCAACTCTGACTGCAAACCCAGGGATAGACCTCAAGGAAACAGAATATGTTCTCAGGTGGTCAGAGAAAATGGGCAGAGAACTTGAACCTGTGTAGTTAGGATGTTCTCCATGTGTCAGGGAGTATGAGTGCCACCTCACCCTGTCCTTCCTTCTGTATCCTGATGTCCTCAGAAGGGATGGACCAGTCAGGACTGAGTCACCCACCCCCAGGCATGCCAAGCCACGAGCTGGCCAGCTGTGTTCCAGAGCTATGTAGCAGTGTTACCGCTGTTGACCGGCTACCCAGTGTTGAAGTATAACACCAGAGAAGCACACCGAGGCAAGGTCAGAGTGGAAAGTAGAAGTTTGTTAAAGGACAGCAGAAAAGACTTCTGGAGGAAGAAGGGGACCCAAGAGGTGGGATCCACTGAAGGGCAAATGTATTCCCCCTTTTATAGTTCTTTCAGTGATGGAATGTAGGTGGAAAGGCTCCAAGGGTGGGGCACAGGTGGGCCAAAGAAGTAATCTTTTAGGACTTTGGGGTCAGCATCTTCAAGTTTGCTGGGAGCTGTTTCATTAACCTTTCTTTGGGATGGGCTCTGGGCTTTGGGGACATTAACATTCCATGAGTTGTCCTGCTTTTCCCGGAATTCATTCTCAACATGGCCTCCATTTTTTATTTTACTCGATATGAGACCCGACTACACTGACTTACCTAACTACACTGACTGCCTAACTTTAAATCTGGCTTCAGCAGCCTCTGAATCCTGAAGCCAGGAGGCTGGATGCATGGGGTTAGCAGCCAGGAAACGGCAGCATCTGGATGTGTACCTAAGTGTGCATCCCATTTCCATCCTGTCCAAGGAAGGCCCACAGAGAGGGTGCTGCTCACCCCTGTTGAAATGCAGCCATGGAGTCCGGTGTGTGTACTTGACTTCACAGCCCTCCACTCTGAAGCATTTGCCTACTTGGGAAAAGGCAGGGGCTCTTCATGAAGGAGTTGGAGCCAACCTCCAACCAGTTCCACAGTTTGTTTCCTACATTCTGGAAGCTGGACCGTGGCTGGCCTCTGGCTAGAGGATGCCCAGGTAAAATAGCCAGCTCAGTTTCTAGAAGATGAGCACCTGCTCTAGGAGCCAGCCCCAGGGTGACTGGTGAGCCAGGACAGGCCATATTCAGAGACCATAGCCCACCATGGAGTCCAGGATACCATGAGTTATAAAATATGACATTATTGTATACACCATGTACTTATTAAACTATGATGGGCTATGAGTGAAAGACTCCAGGTTAGAGTTGAGGACGTGAAAAATATACAGCTTAAAATTGATTAAAAAAATAACTAAATGTGCTAGAACAGAAATTAACTGAACTATGATCTGTTCACACAGTGGGAGGCTATGTCACTATTAAAAGAGATATGTTAAAAAAAAAGACTGGTAAGTTTTACCAAGCAGATCATAAGCTATGGATTTGATTCATATTTCTGTGTGTATAAATAGTGGATGGAGCTGGTTGCAGCTCCCACACTTTCCCATCTGTTCCAGATCCTTTAAAATGACAGCAAAAAATGCAGTGTTCACAGCAACAGGAGAAAACACAAAATAATGCTGTTAGAGGGTTAAAGAGTCGCAAAAAAAACTTAGCAAAATGGGGTTAAATTGACAGACAAGAGCCCAGGAAAAACTGCCGCCCACAGGAAGCAAGGTGGAAAGAACCGAGCAGGGGACAGCTGCTCACAGCTGAGCTCCAGGAGGGGCCCTGGCCTGGGCTAGCCAAAGGCTGGCCCTGACCTGTCCCCACACCCAGAGCTGTAGCTGCAGGAGGATCTGGGCCATGACACCAGGCTGAGACCCCAGAGTTCACTCCAAAGAAGATCTTGTGCCTGGGGGTAGGCATAACGCCCTGGGAAGACATGGAGCTGAAAAGTCAGTGGGAGGACTGTGGCTTAAGACTTGGTATGTGCTGAACAGGAGAAAGGCCCTGGCCCAGGCAGGACTTGGGGAACTATAAGAAACATCACAGGACTCCCCAGGGACAGCAAGAAGGTGGGAGCACTGTGGATCAGTGCAAGGACCATGTCCACCAGACAGGAGCGTCAGAAGATGGAACAGAGTGGGAGAAGAACAAGTCAAAGCCCCGTGAAGGGCATTTCTCAGGACTAAAGAAAACTGCGACTCCACAAACGGAAAGGGCCCAGCAGCCAGTGGCGGAAGAGGGGCCTAAGCCTGGGAATGAGGGTTCCCGCTGGGCCGCAGCAAGGACTCCTGGGGCAGTCAGAGCCCTCCTGCCAAAGTCAGCCAGAAAAATCTACTTGAAATATGCCCCCATATGGGCAAAGACCCTAGAAAAGAGACAGCAATTCTTTTTTTTGTTTGTTTGTTTTTGTTTTTGTACCAGAAATTGGACTCAGAGGCACTCAACCCCTGAGCCAGGTCCCCAGCCCAATTTTGTATTTTATTTAGAGACAGGGTCTCACTGAGTTGCTGTGCCTCCCTTTTGCTGAGGTTGGCTTTGAACTCGGAATCCTCCTGCCTCAGCCTCCCAAGCTGCTGGGATTACAGGCCTGCACCATGTTGCCCAGCCTCTATTTACTTTTTGAAACAGGGTCTCTCAAAGTTTATGAGGCTGGCCTGCAACTGTTACACCTGTTGGCCAGTGATGAGTCCTTGCTTCCAAGCACGCTGAGGCAAGGTCAGAGTAGAGATTAGAAGTTCATTAAAGGACAGCAGAAAAGACTTCTCCCGGAAGAAGAAGGGAACCCAAGAGGTGGAATCCGTGGAAGTGCGGTTCTCTCCCCTTTTTATAGTTCTGGTGATGGAATGTAGGTTGGAAGGCCTGAGGGGTGGGACACAGGTGGGCCAAAGAAGTAATCTGGTCAGGAAGGACTTCATTATCACTTCTTTGGGATGGACTTTGGCCTAGGGCCTTTTCAGGACTTCATTAACATTCCATGAGTTGTCCTGCATTTCCTGGAATCATTCTCAGCATGGCCTCCATTTTAGATTTCACTCGGTATTAGATCCGATTTACCTAACTACACTGACTACCTAACTTTAAATCTGGCTTCACAACTTGTGAGTCACAGGGGTTACAGACCTGGGCTTCTGCATCTCAGAGGAGGCCAGAAATCTGAAACCAACGTACTGTTGGGGCTGGTGTGCTAAGATCTCTTCCTGGCTGTTGGCGGTCCCTTCTCCCTGTCCCCTCACCAGCCTTCGCTCTGTGCCTGCAGACAGGGAGTGTTCCTTAGTGTCTCTACAGATACTGGGCCTCACCCTATGACCTCAGTTAACCTTCACTACCTGCCTCATCTGGCTAACAGGGCCGAGTCCGGTGAGAGACAGTGGGGTTAAGAAAGACAAGACACCAAGGTTCTTCATCCAGGAGGAGGCGTGTGCGCCTTTATTGCCAAAGTTTGTTCCCTTATATATCTTTTTTTAACAGCTGCGGGAAATTACTCAAAAGCAAGGAGGGAAGAGTAGTAACTGCGTCCTTGGGTTACACCACCATCCCCTATCAGAAGGCTCCGAACAGGTCAAGATGTTCCAGAGACACATATGCTCGAGACAGATAAACAGGAAACCGCAAGCCAGCGTCAGGGCCTTGTGAGCTGGCCACATTGACATGCATAACAAAAGACTGGGGATTGAATCCCCAGGGCCAGGGCGGGCCTGCTACCAGCAAGTCCCCCATTTTTGTTTTCTGCATGTCAAAGGGAATCAAGTAGCCCCTATCTTAGGTCGTCCACCCCTGCACTGCTTACCCATCTCTGGGGAGGCCCAATTCCCCTGGCTTAGGTTGCAGTGCAAGCGTGGAAGTTGCCCGTCACTGGGTACTACAAGATCAGCTCTTGTCCTATGTAAACGGACACTTTTCAGTTAGGATATCATGGCCAGCAGGACCCAACTGCGGATCCCAGTCATCATCTTTGCCAGTGGGATAGCTATGGCCAGGGAGCTTTCTGAACGTAAGGGTCTGGGATGACGGCACCAAGTCGGCAGGGTAATTAGGGACCTGGGCAAAAGCAGGCACATAGGAGGGCTCGGGTATTGGCTCCTGTCCAGTTACATCTCATCTCCGGATGGGTCATAAGTACACCTCCTGAGCGGAGTTGTCCATCTCCAGTCGTCCATCTCCACCTGTATTGGCTTGGAGGTTAAAATGTTAATCTGGTCCTTAATGAATTGCGTTATCCTATTTGCAACACAAGGTCCCAAGGTTGCAATCAAAAGACCCAGTAAGGGCCCCAGGAGGGGAAGAAGGTAGGGCAGGAACCCATTCATCCCAGTCCAAAGAGGGTTCTCCAATAATTCTTTTCTCCTTTTCTCTAGGTCTTCTTGAAGCTCCTTGATTTTAGTGCGAACTATGCCTGATTTATTGGCATAGAAGCAGCATCTTTCTCCCAAGGCTAAACAGATTCCCCCCTGATTGGCAGTCAGTAAGTCTAGGCCTCGCCTATTTTGGAGGACCACTTCTGCCAAAGAGTCAATCTGGTCTTGTAGGTCCCTAATAGTCCCAGATAGGGTCTGCACATCATCTATAAGCTGCTGAGATAGACGGCGATAAGAATGTATCGCTGTACCCAGTCCAGCTGTGCCTGTGCCCACAGCAGCCGTGATCCCCAGTGTGGCGAGTAGTGGTAGAGCCCGTATAGCTCGCCTGTGTCTTCTCACTAGAGTCTCTAGGCTGGGGATGGGCAGGGGCTCATCCCTAGGGACAGTGGTTATGTCAGGGAGGAGCAGGGTGAGAACACAGACACCTGTCCAATTTGCAGGGAGTCGGGGTAAGGCAGAATTTCCCCCACACATAAAAACAGTTCCATTAGGGGGACAGAGGGCTGGAGTGGGAGAGGAATAATTCTTCACCATCGAGCAGTTCCCCAAGGAGGTCACTCCAAAATCCACATCGTAGGTGTTGTTTTGCGTCACACCCAGAAGGCATATTGTAAAGACACCCGTGGGCTGGACCTTGAAAGGCAATCCAGGCTGGCAAGTATCATCACTATGCATGGTGACATTAATAGGGACCGCTACGGGCATAACCGCCCCTGTTGTCATGCAGAGCCAGCAATCATTAGCAAGTGTGGGATTGGAGTCATTAAGCAAGGAAAAGGTGGTCCTTAAGATATCTAACGAGTTAGCATCCAGATCTGGGAGCTGTGACTTAGGCAGCACCAAGGGGTGGTATATGAGCTCAGGGATCTGCGGTTTCAAAACAAGTTGTGGAGTAGTATATAAATCTTACAGTATTTTTTATGGACAATAGATCTAGTTAGAGAACTTATATAATATCAATGAAATTTTTTTTAAGTTTGTAACCTTTATTGTTTAAAATTAATATATAACTTTAATTTGGAGAACATTAGTCTTAATAAAATGTTTTTTTTTTTAAAGAGAGAGTGAGACAGGAGAGAGAAGAGTGAGAGAAAGAATTTTCAATATTTATTTTTTAGTTCTCAGCGGACACAACATCTTTGTTGGTATGTGGTGCTGAGGATCGAACCCGGGCTGCACGCATGCCAGGCAAGCGCGCTACCGCTTGAGCCACATCCCCAGCCCAATAAAATGTTTTTTTTAATTTTATAATTATCTAACAAACAAAATATATAAAAATTAGTATCTCAGTGTCTTAGAATTAATCAATTTTAGTCTCTAAGGACAATTGTTAAAATCGGGATTTAGGTTAGTAGTTCAATATATTTAATATTTAATCAACAATGTGAATTTATTTACCAAAATTAATCTTTATCTTAAACAGTAAGAATTATTAGGCAATAAGGATCTTTCTTTAAAGAAATAAACTTACATTTTAATAGGTGTTTATCATGTCAAAATATGGACAAAATTTTAGCTCACATTAGTATTAAATTAGGAAAATTGTAAAAGGGGTCCGGCGGAGCGTCGGAGGGAGAGACCACACAGGAGACTTACTCCATGCAATTGGCAAAAGGGGATTTATTGGGGATCCATTCCAGCGCGCTGGGGCTCCGTGCTCACTCAAGAAGGGAGAGCAGCCCAGAGCCCAGAGCAGAGGTCAAGCAGAGCTTAAGTACACTTTCTGGAGAGGGGCGGTGGGCTTTGCATACATCAGAACAAATCATCATGAGGCGCGGGAAAATTGAACAACTCTGAGACGTGATTAGCACATTCATTGGCAGGAACAGGTCGGATGGGGGTGATTGGTCATTCCTAAGCGGGGTACACACTCAAACTGACTGGTTCGGGCCCTGTGACAAACTGCACAGGGCCCTGGGCTAAATGGCCAGTAGGGCATTGTCTTAACTATCTCAGGAATTTCAGGTTCTGGGTGTAGCAGAGGAACTTAATAATACCTAGTCTTTTACATTCAAGCTTTCCAGCTTAGAAACTTTACCCTTTCAAAATAACCTGAAACACCCTTAAATTAATTATAGTCAGTTTAATATATATAAATCTCTTTTTCAATTGTTCTAACTTTTTATATCAACTGTTTAGATAACAATATAAAAATCTTTTTTACTTGGGAAAATTAATATAAAGACCTTGTTTTACCCAAAGATGATTTCTTTCTTCTTTTTAGGATCCATGTGTGCTTTTTCATTGTTGAAGCATCTTTTTCTTTTAGAAAAAAAAAAATTTTTTTTTATACTTTGGAACAATTTCTGAAAACCTTAGACTCCATAAACAAATTATTATACTTTGATAAGAAATATCAATGAAAATAGTTAAAACCCTTAGATATTTTGTAGAAATAATTATAATAATTTATCATCTTATGAGTTTAAACAGTAACTTTGAGAATTAGAAACTACTTGATTGTATTTTCACTTAAAAGCAAATTTATAGTAAACACATTTATCTCAAATATCTGTAACTGAAAAGGCAGAGTATCTGATAAATGTAAATATAAAACATAAATTATGGGTTTTCTGTTGAAGAAAAACAATTAGGCAAATATATATTAACTAATCAATTAAGCATGTGCTAATTAATTTATAGATTAACAAATGTAGGTTATCTAAATATCTAAAAAAATATATATTATGAATAAGAACATAACTTATAATTGTATTAACTTTATGTAACCACGTGGTCTTAAATATTTGGATCCATTTTAATTTATTTTTAACTAGGAGTGCACTCTTCTATATGACGTTACTTGATATAACTGAAATAAGTTCCTTTTTTTTTAATATTTATTTTTTAGTTTTCGGCGGACACAACATCTTTGTTTGTATGTGGTGCCGAGGATCAAACCTGGGCTGAACGCATGCTAGGCGAGTACGCTACCGCTTGAGCCACATTCCCAGTCCTGAAATAAGATCCTTGAGTATACATTTTTATTTTCAAAGTTAGCAATGAGAATAAGGATTTTTTGGTCATCATAGGAACTTTGCTGGCTTGTTCCTGTGGCAAGCAAATGCATCCTCATAACCTCCAAAATCAAAAGTAAAATATAAAGAAGCATATTTGATATCTCTCATCAATATAACATTATTTAGTTACACAACTATAGAGAAAACTTAGGTTATTTAACTTAGAACTAACTTAAATTTAGGACCTGTGGAATTAAATTTTGTCTGAAAAAGATATCTTTCGTTAGCATTTACAGGTAGGCATTTTTTTTTTTTTTAAATACAGGCTCTGAGCAGCTCTGGTAGAAATCTGAAACACAGTAGTACAGATTAGTGGCTGGAAGGCGGGACTAGAAGTCCTGTCTGAGTGACTGTGGAAGAACCAATAGGAAGCCCGCAAAAGTGTGGGAGGTGGGACCAGGAAGCCGCTCTTCTGGCCAGGCACCCCATGGTTACCATGGTGATGCAAACAACATGAAGTCTGCTGCCCATTTTCGGGTCAAAAGTTCCCCAAGTTTTCCTAGCCGATTGCATTTTGTTTGATTTTGTCTGCATTTTTCCCCGCCTGGCCAAGATCTTAGTGCGGTAGCAGCTTGTTCTCTCTCTGTGACCTGCAGTTGCAGCTCGTGTACATCCTGCACTTTCTGGCGTTCCCTTGGTGAGTCTACAGGTAGAAAGGGCTTGGTCCGTGGGAGGTGACGAACTCACCCATTCTTCTGGGCACCATTCCGTCCCTGGATTGCCCCGTACACCTTGGCTTCCGGGGCCTGGGGCGGGCCCCTGTTCCCGTATCCCGGCTGCTGTGGCTATCTGAGCATAGACCCCAGGATCATAATTAATTTGTTAGTCTATGGCAGCATACTGTCCTGATCCTGTTGACATTTCTAGGTTACGCCGTGGGAAGCCGGTGTTCAGATTGACCTGGGCTAGCTCGCGACACTTCTCTTGATTTTCACTTTTCCACAACAAAAAATCCCCTCCGGACAACATAGCCCTGAAAAGCTGTTGCCAATCACTGTTATTGAGAAAGCCTCCTGTCAGAAACCAAGGACAAGCCCGGGCTATAGTTTCAACGAATTCGGTTACTGTCTTGGTTTTTATTCCTGTTCCTTAGTTGCTTAACAGCTCTTTAACCTCGCTGGCCAGACGAAGTTTCACTGTTGAGTTACCCATGGTACGTACCCTGTCTCTTTTGAATTATCTTTGATCCAATCCTCCCCCTTCTACCTTAGAAGGTGAGCCCCATCCGCTTACCTCTGCTTTCCGGAACTTGGTGGGAACCTCCACTTGCTGCATCCGGCTAACAGGGCCGTGTCCAGCGAGAGACGGTGGAGTTAAGAAATACACAGGACACCAAGGTTCTTCATCCAGGAGGAGGCGTGTGCGCCTTTATTGCCAAAGTTTGTTCCCTTATATATCTTTTTTAACAGCTGCGGGAAATTACTCAAAAGCAAGGAGGGGGCATAGGGATGTAGCTCAAGCGGTAGCGCGCTCACCTAGCATGCGTGCGGCCCGGGTTCGATCCTCAGCACCACATACAAACGAAGATGTTGTGTCCGCTGAGAACTAAGAAAAAATTAAAAAATGTTAAAATTCCCTCTCTCTCTCTCTCTGTCCCCCTCTCTCTCCCACTCTCTCTTTAAAAAAAAAAAAAAGCGAGGAGGGAAGAGTAGTAACTGCGTCCTTGGGTCACACCACTGTCCCCTATCAGAAGGCTCCGAACAGGTCAAGATGTTCCAGAGACACATATGCTCGAGGCAGATAAACAGGAAACCACAAGCCCCGGTCATGGCCTTGTGAGCTGGCCACATTGACATACATAACAAAAGACTGGGGGTTGAATCCCCAGGGGCCAGGGCAGGCCTGCTACCAGCAACTACCTGCCCAGTGGCTCTGGATCCAAGCAGTCCCATTGGGAATTAGGCTTCCTATATGAATCTGGAGACAGGCTCAGTCCCTAAAGTGCAGTGACAAGAAGTGAGTCCCACAGCAGTTCTTGAACCTGTAGGGTGGGAGCACGTGGCAATGACCTGCCAGATGGGGGCTCTGAGAGGCTTCAGCTAAGGGCACAGTGGGCCACAGGGTAGGAGTGAGTTTTTACAAAGAAAACCAAATGATCCAAGAGATCCTTGGGAGAAGAAGATATTGACATAGTCAAGAAAGCAACAGATTAATATGTGCAAGAAAATAGATGGAAATCTTCAGCAGAGGAGGAGCATGTCTAAAAAGGGGATCCAGGAGTGACTCTTAGAGTGGTTTTGATTTGCATTTCTCTGATTGCTAGAGAAGTCAAACACTTTTCCATATATTTGTTGATCGATTGTATTTCTTCTTCTGTGGAGTGTCTGTTCAGTTCCTTAGCCCATTCATTGATTGGGTTATTTGGTTTTTTTGGTGTTAAGTTTTTTGAGTTCTTTATATATTCTAGAGATTAATGCTTTATCAGAGGTTCATGTGGTAAAGATTTTCTCCTGATCTGTAGGCTCTCTCTTCAAGTTACTAATTGTTTCCTTTGTTGAGAAGAAGCTTTTTAATTTGAATCCATCCCATTTACATCTCACTCTTGTCAGAATGGCAATCCTCAAGAATATAGGCAACAGTAAGTGTTGGTGAGGATGTGGGGAAAAGGCACACCCATACACTGCTGGTGGGACTGCAATTTGGGGCAACCACTATGGAAAGCAGTGTGGAGAGTCCTCAGAACACTGGGATGGAACCACCATTTGACCCAGCTATCCCACTCTTAGGTTTATACCCAAAGGACTTAAAATCAGCACACTGCAGTGATGCAGCCACGTCAACGTTTATAGCAGCTCAATTCACAATAGCTAGACTGTGGAACCAACCCAGGTGTCCCTCAACAGATGAATGGATGAAGAAAGTGTATAGATGGTGGGAGGCCAGCACATCATGTGACCAGCGTTTTCCCCTCCTGATGGGTTGAGGCACTGTCCATCATCCTCCTGATGATCTGGCTTCTCTTAAGTTGCTGAAGATGGTAGCCCTGATCTTGAGGGTAGTAAAAATGCAGCCAAATGTGTCTTCACAGGTAGACGCACCTTCCTGCATCCCCAAGGGTCGAGCTACACTCAATGTTCCTTTGTGATATTACCCCTTGCCCTGTTTGGGATAGAACGTTCCATAGAAACTCACTTTGTATGTCCCCTTCTCTTGCTCTGCCCTTGAGTGTGGCTTGCCTAGATGTCAGTCCAATCTGCTGACAGTGGACATCATGAAGCTAGACTCAGCCCCCTGAATCCTGACCCCTGGCCTCATTTGAATGACTTCTCCTCAATAACAGGGGTCAGCACACGCTCGCTCTCTTTCTACACACCCTTAAGGTCAGAGGAGCCATCACAGCACCCCAAAGAAAAAGGCATCTCTGTCTTTTGTGTGGTTATTTCATGCAGCCCAGTTCCCCTGGAGTCACCCTGAGTGTTTTAGACACGAGCAATGCAACAATATATACTCAGCTTTAAAGAAGAATGAAATTGGGGCTGGGATTGTGGCTTAGCAGTAGAGCGCTCACCTAGCATGGGCAAGACCCAGGTTCAATCCTCAGCACCACATAAAAATAAAGCATTGTGTTGTGTCCATCTACACCTAAAAAATAAATTTAAAAAATTTTTTAAAAAAAGAAAGAAGAGTGAAATCATGGCTTTTGCCAGTAAATGGTTGGAGTTGGAGAATATCATGCTAAGCAGAATAAGTCAATCCCACTCTAAGTTCCTTACTTAGCACCTCGATGGCCATTTTAAGTGACAGTTGCCATTTTAAGAAAAATTTTGCTTTCCCATCCAAAGGCCTTTCTGAGAAAGGCTCACCACTCCCTCATTCCAACCCAACCCTTCACCCCCAGCACTAGGACCTGTCCATCTCTAATCCCTGAGCCTGCCCCATAAGAGTTCTGAACCCCAAGCCTGTTCTGCCTCTCTCCGTCTGTGGAGACATGGCCTTGATTTGTCAGCTCTGACAAATAAACTCCAGTGTGCGTCTCACCTGGTCTCTGACCTTCATTTCTTGCTGGCCCTTATCCTTGCTTTCCTTTCACCCACAAAACCAAAGGTCAAATGTTTTCTCTAACACTAGAGAATAGCGTTACCTTAGATTAGGTAGAGGGAAGTGATGGAGGGGAGGGGATGTGGGGATAGGAAAGACATAGAACAAAACAGACATGATTACTGTGAGTGTGTATGTGACTGCAGGACCAGTATGATTCTGCAACATGCACACTCAGAAAAATGAAAAATTATATCCCATCTATGTATGATTTATCAAAGTGCATAAATGCATTCTACTGTCATGGATAACTAATTTTTAAAAATTAAAAATAAAAAAAAACAGTGCCGTAGTCTGGCTGGGCACAAAATAACTGAGCCGCCACAGGTACTTGTAGGTTCAAACAGGAACTCCTTTATTGCCCGAACTCCCTCCCACACCACCCATGCACGTGGCCCTTCCAGGAACACCCCCAACTGGAAATCCCTCCTCGGGAACTTCACCCACCAACAGGAACTCTCCAGAAATCCCCAACTCCAAAGTAGTGGGCACCCCAGGCGGACATCAGGGGTCTATATACAACTGAATATGCAGCTTAACTTAACCATGATCATCTCAATGGCTCTGGCATCACCTCTCAACCACTCCCTTCTGGCAAAAATGCCAGGCATCATCCCAACTTGGCTATGGCCTCAACAAAAAAGGAATACAGCCTGACAATGTGGCATGCCTGAGGGAGGGGAGGCTGAGGGGGGGGATTGTAACAGGGGCTCACGTGATGCTTTGACTTTATCCCTTGTCACTTTGAAACTTACATGTTTTTTTCTCTTTCCCAACCTTCTGAGAAACTGATGTGACTCCATTTTTGAAGACCAGCCTGTACCTCAGAGCAGGGCCTGTCCAAGGAGGCGGGGTGGCCCTGTCCTTGGAAAACCCATTCCTAGGCACACAGCTACCTGCCGAGTCATTTGTCCCCACCAGAGGACCTTGACTCAGCAAAGGCAAGTTCCTGGAAAGACCAAAAGAAGGCCCCAGGCCACAGCAACCACCCACCAGGTGACAGGGGAGACACCTGAAATGCCAGGGCCCAGGGGTTTGAGATTGGTAACATGATCAGGCCACCCTGTGTTATGCTCGAATTCGGGACCCCCAAAGACCACCAGAGCCCCAAGATCGATGCAAGCAGCAAAGAGGTGTTTATTGCGAGCTAGCTCGGTCCTCCACACGCACACACAGCAACTGGTGACGCTGAGAGGCCTGGAGCCCAGGGTTTGCAGCAGTTTTATACATTCTTTGGAGAGAGCAGGGACTTCACATGAAAGGGTAAAGTTTCTAAGCTGGAAAGCTTGAATTAAAATTAGGTATTATTAAGTTCCTCTGTTACACCCAGATTCCTGAGATAGTTAAGACAACGCCCTACTGGCCATTTAGCCTAGGGCCCTGTGCAGTTTGTCACAGGGCCTGAACCAATCAGTTTGAATGTGTACCCCCCCCCTTAGGAATGACCAATCACCCCCGCCTGACCTGTTCCCGCCAATGAATGTGCCAATCGCGTCTCAGAGTTGTTGTTCAATTTCCCCGCGCCTCATGATGATTTGTTCTGATGTATGCAAAGCCCCCCCCCTGCCCTCCCCAAAAAGTGTACTTAAGCTCTGCTTGACCTCTGCTCGGGGTTCTGGGCTGCTCTCCCTCCTTGAGTGAGCACAGAGTCCCAGCGCGCTGGAATGGATCCCCCAATAAATCCCTTTTTGCCAATTGCATGGAGTAAGTCTCCTGTGTGGTGTCTCCCTCCAACGTTTCGCCAGACCCTTACACACATACATCATAGCAAATCATCACACCCTGTGGGAAAATCAAAACATGATGAGCACATTCACTGGCGGGAACAAGTTGGGTAGGGGTGATTGGTCAGTACAAAAGGGGTATTCATTTGAACTGATGGGTTTAAGCCAAGAGGGGTTTACGTGCTGAACTACTTGGTTTCCCAACTTGTTATCAACCACCATAAACCACTGGGAGGGTCATCTGGCATCCCAGGTATTTCCCTGTCTCATGCTGATTGGTGGCTGCTAGGGGGCTGCTATGGATCCCCACCTAGCCTGACTGAGTCAGGGACACCTGGGGCAGCAGATCTCTCCTGTTATTTGTAGATAAACAACTTAGCAGGGTGGGTATGTGCCTAGGAGTGCTCTGTGGGGTTTTCCAAGGACCAAGGTCATGTCCCTTCCTTGGACAGGCTTTGCTCTGAGGTAGAAGCTGGTTTTTCACCTGCAGTTTAGCACACACTCTTGCAACCCCTCCAGCCTAAACCAGTCAGTTCAAAGGTATCCACCATGTGAACTAACCCATCAGCCACCCTCTTGTTCCCGCCAGTGAAGGTGCTGATCCAGGTAAGAGTTGTGTTTGACTTTCCCGCAGTGTGCAATGATTTGCTGTGTGATGCTGTGACACATAAAGTATCCCCCCCAAAACCTATAAATCCTCACTGACTAAGGGCCGGCACTCACTCCCTGGGACTGCTGCATCGGGAAGGTTGTGAGTCCAGGCTCGAGCTTGCAATGAAGACTCTTGTGGGGCTGGGGATGTGGCTCCAGTGGTAGTGCACTTGCCTGGCATGCGTGAGGTCCCGGGTTCGATCCTCAGCACCACATACAAACAAAGATGTTGTGCCCACCGAAAACTAAAAAATAAAGATTTAA